CGGGGCTGAGTGCTCCAACATCCACAGTGCCTTCCTTGATTTCGTTGGAGGCTTCCACATGGCCATGGCCTTGGAGCTTCGCGACCTCGCCGCGGTCGCGAACTTCACACACAGCTTACCGCCGTGCGCGCGAAATCATTCATAACTGTGTCAAAACGTCGTCCTTTCCTTCAGGGGCCAGGGCTCCGACAACTCACTCCATGCCTTCATAGGCATCAAATTGCCCACGTTGACTGCGGCGATGTCGACGTCAAAGAAGTGCTTCAGGGAGGGAGTGGCGGGGTTCAGCCTTACAAAAAAATCCGCTGAGATGGCGCACAGCGTCAAGAATGAAAAGGATGCTGTCAAGTACAAGCAAAAAGCTCCTCCAGCTGCACAGTGGCAGCAGCAACGATGGCACAGGTCCCACTGGCAGTGTGACTTGGAACGAAACAATCCGTGGCTTCCGTTGCAGAAGTCAGCGTCATGTCCTCGCCGTTCAAGGGCTGCGCGGCGATGCAAGAGTGAGGCACAGGAGTTACGAAGTGACGAGGCAGCAGCATAGGATGGGTACGTAGCGTCCCCCCAAAATGCTTCGCCAAAATAAACAATAATTCCAAAAACGACGCATTGCAGACCCTAATTGGCTTCGGATAGGTAGTTCGAGTCTGGTTGTTGCTTGTTTTTTCTGGAATTTCAGTTTTGATTTTTAATTTGGAGGTTTCTGGTTGTTTCCCCAAAACATACAAAACAACACCTCGATATTTTAAAATACACATACACAAAAGAACAAACAACAACATGTGTTGGCTAGATACGCAAGGTCCGGTCTTGCTTTAACTACAACTAAACTTAAGTTGTGTGCTGCTCTTAAAATTGGTGAGGTGCCTGGCGGATAAACAATAAACAAACCGTAGGCCCCATCATGACCCTTGCCGAATTTCAATTGACCCCCCTTTGGCTGGATTTAGGTCCTTCAATGTTGTCCAAACGGGTGCGTCTCTTTTTAGGGGACCCTGCACCATGGTGGGTTTTCCTCTTGCTTTCCCTTCAAAACCACCAAAAAGAGCAGGGTACCCTCCAAAAAAGACAGCCCCAAATAGGCAAGTCGGTAGACTCGACTCGCGAGTAGAACCCTGAGTGCATTGCATGCCCAAGCCTTAGCGACGTCTGCGCTGTCCTGATGGCTCGCTGACGACCGAGCGGTTCGCTCGTTCGCCTGTTTGCGCATGCACCTTGTGGGCTGCGTTTTTGCGGGTATCCGATTTTATTGGGGTTTGAAGGGAAACCAAAAGGAACACCTCCATTTTGGAGGGTCCCCTAAAGAAGAAACCCCCTTCTCTTTCTACTGCCACTTTCCAACTTCAAAGCATGAGGCTGTGAAAATTCAACATATCCGAGACCAGGGCAGTGCTTCGGACTCAGGCATACGGGTGGGTTGGCCTGTTTACACAAAATGGTCTGAAGGCTGCGCTGGGAGTCCGAATCTGGCTGTAAGCAATACTCGATTGGACAAGCCAGTGTAACCTGGCACATGCCGTAAAAAGTGCTTGCTTCTAGCGAGGCTGATCCATATCACACCGGCAAACTCCATTTGTGACCTCCTATGCACTCCGATCCTAATTGGACAATGTGTACATTCTTCAAACACACAGAGGCGGCGTCTCTGTGCCCGCAGTGGTGAAACCACTGCCCGCAGTGGTGAAACCACCCGAAAGAAATAAGAAACAACTCCGGTGATTGGGCATTAACCGATCCCATGGCACAAGCAGACCTTGTGTAAGAAATCGAGTCATGCTCTCCAGCTCAGACTGTGGGTTGTTCAATCACATCTCACCTTTGACAGTCAACGCATTTCTGTGTGAAAAGGCAAGTGTCCGAACAGTTGCGAATATGGGTCTGTCATTTTTTAGGGATACCTTTCTTGGAGTCGGTTTAAAGGGAAACAAAAAGGACAATGACGATTTGTTCGGGGGCTTTTAGAAAAAGACACACCTATACAGCTGTTCAATGCTTGTTCCTTACTGCTGCATGTGACTCGAGAGGATGAACCAGTGGCTTTGGGCATGTCATCTAAGGGCTGACTCGCATTCTCTCCTCTTTGTATACACACGCACAGTTCGGCTTACAATCCACCATGAATGAGGCGTTTTGACGATGTCAAGGTTCCCTTTTGGCTTTCTTCCTTTAAAAAACCTCTTTAGACATCACTCTAAATGAAACTCATAAGCTCACTGGACCAACAAATAATGCGTGGAGCATTTCTGGTCCATCGTTCAGTCAGCGTTGGCCAAAGGGAACATCTCCCGTCCTGAACGCTTTTAGAGCTTGGGAAGCCAACGACACGTGCCTGGCATGTGGACGCGCGGACGCCCGCCACTTTCACGCGCGACAACTCTGGAAATTGCAACTCTGATGTGGGCTCAATGGACAACCCAGAAGATTAGCCCGAAAGCCAAAGTCCAAAGATCCAACCCAATAGCAATCAGGTATTATTCGAACCACTGAAAACGGTGGTCTTTTGACCTGGCACTTCAATGCTGGGAAAAAACGATCATGTTTCGAAGGTGTAAAGGATTCAGGGTGAATTTTTCAGAAGTTTGAGGTACGGGGACACACACACACAGCGCAAAATTTCCTTGGGGCTGGTTGCACGGGAGTTGGACCCCGAGAAATGCCCATGCGGTCTACCAGCGCTTTCGCGGGATCTGGAAGACTTCCAGTGGTTTAGGCACGATTTGGGCAAAGCCCTCCTGTTCACTGAAGGAAGCCGCCGAACATCTAGAATTCTGAGACATACTCCAATGCAACACAATCTCCGAGTCGTCCGAGCTGTCGTCAGAATGGCGACCAGCCTTGTGATACCAAAGTGAGTCATGACGATGTTAACTCGGGACTCTCCAATTTGAAATGGCAGCGCAGAACCAAAAAGTGTCACCTGGCATGTTGCGCAATCGGACGTCGGCTCGGGGCAGAGCGGACTCAGTGGCTAGGTGTCGTCAATGAGGGGTGCGGTGACGGGGTGCTTGAAACTTTGGGGTTCAAATCCCAAGCCGCAACTGAACCACCATATCTTAGACCAAAACTTAGCCTCTATCTCTGTGGAGGTTAAAACCGGCCAATAGTCATGTAACAAACCACGTCACTCTTCATGTAAGTATTCATGTAAACAAAAACAGGCCTTAAAGAAACACGCAAAAGATCATGTAAACAATGTGTGCCTCAGTGTTGGAAGCTGGAAGCTGCATCATTTGCCATGTAACAGGCCTGAACAGACAGAAAAGGCGCACAATCAGACAAGCCCATGGCAAAACATTGGCAAAAAGAAGGTTCGGCTCCAACGCGCCCCTCCCATCTCCATAACAAGCGCCCAAGGTGTTGATTGAATGATCTTTGTTAAATCCTTAGCAGCTACCGTGCGAATGTTAGGAGGCCAAACATCTTAGGTCTTAAACACGTGGTTGGTAAGCCTAAGCATGCGTGAGCAGAAGCAAGGGCAATTCCTGAGCATGCTGTTGCAATCTTCGGAATGGTTCCTAGGTACGCAGCTCCAATGTCTCCGAACGGTTCAGAACAGTTCAGGGTATGATGTTGCAATCCCTCCTGAACGGTTCAGCACGGTTCAGGGCATGCTGCTTGCAATTCTTCCTGAACGGTTCAGAACGGTTCAGGGTATGCTGCTGCCATGACTGCTGAACGGTTCAGAACGGTTCATAGTATGATGCTGCAATCCCTCCTGAACGGTTCAGAACGGTTCCTGGGAAGCTTGAGTGACGACGAACGGTTCAGAACGGTTCAGAACGGTTCTGAACTATACGCCTGCTCTGTGCGCTGCTTGCTAGATGGGCTCCAGAACGGTTCAGAACGGTTCAGGGGCATGGGTTCCAATGCCTCCGGAACGGTTCAGAACGGTTCAGGGGCACGCGTTCCACTGCTTTCGGAACGGTTCAGAACGGTTCAGGGGCATGCAGTTTGGTTGCCACCGTTCCTCGGAACGGTTCGCGAGCACGCGGCTGGCGGTTCCTAGTCCTAGGTAAAAGGTCAGGCCGGCATCGGAACATCGAAAGCGATCCGAAATCTCAAAGCACAAAAAGGCAAAGACTTGTCTGAAATTTACGCGAAAATTTACGCAACCATTTACGCAGAAAAAGGCTGGCTGAACCGTTCTGAACCGTTCAGGGGACACATTTTGAGCATGGAGGTCCGTCCGCAGAACTTGCGTGCACATGTGACAGCATTGATCGCTCCTCTTTTCCGGCCTTTGCTCAACTGGGTTTCTGGAATCGGTTCTTGGATTCCCTGGGTCTTGCGGACAAACGAGGCGAAGCCGCGGCAAAGAGAAAACAACAAACAACAACGCGCGACAGTACCACAACGCGGCAAGCAAAGCTGCAACAAAGCAAAGCTTAAAATCGTCCTTTGCAACTCCTGACTGGTTGGATCAGCGGCCACGCGGAGACAACCTCGTAGAGTCGTGTGTGCATGTGTGTTTGTGTGTGTGGGTGGTGTCTGTGTGTCTGTGCGCCAGGTGCATGTTGGGAATATAGACGTTAATCTTGATGTTCTTCAAGATTGGCCCTCGCAAGGTCGCCCAACAAAAAGCTGACTAAGTCCTGATTGTTGGAAAGAGCCCTCAAAATATTCTTAATGTTGTTCACGCAGCTGACATAACCAATGACCGGGCATACCGGACGTTCTTTGACAAGATGCAGTGTTCCTAGTCCTCGGTTCCTACAACACCTCCTTTCTCATGATCACTAAACACAAATTGACATGTATCTTGGTGGGGGTTCTGGCTGCCTATTAGCATGGCAACGCAACCCAAGCGCAAGCATGGGCGCACGCGTTTTTGCGTCCGGAGGTTTTTGGCTTTGCCAACGCGACACATGCTCGCGAGCAAAAACTGTGGCTCGCAGCTACCAGTACGCATGAACATTCATGTCAAAGTTGTCGCGGCTCTTCCAATGGTTCATGACTCATGACGCTTTGCCTTCCTTCAGTGATATGAGCAGGTTAAATTCGCGAAGGGGAAGATTCTTGCCAATACACATCCCTGTCCATGAGGGACACTAAGTCCAGCTAACGCAGGCTCACTCAAGATCGGGCAAGCGAAAATGAATTACAACTAATTTACCTCACTATTTACCATATTATTTACGGACTCTTCCTGTTAAGGGCCAGGCCAACCAGAAAGCTTGATTTATTTACGTGATTGTTTACGCTTTTATTTGCGGGTACGGCGAAAACGACAGACCCCCCTATTTATAGAGGCTAAGTTTTGGTTTAAACCATATCTGCCCTGCCCAACTTAAATATTTGTTTGAAGCTGCTGAGCCACACCCAATGAGCGCAACTCCACGGGATTAACCAATCCCAGGTGCCAGTAGCACCTTAGAGGATGTAATGAGGTGAATGGGGTAGTACGGTCAACTTTAGGATTCCTCAATTTGGCGGGCGGTTGGTCGCCCCCGTCTTCCCGCAGAAGGTCTTGTTCGGAAAGACATTCCGCAGGGTCAGTTGGACTCCATGCTTCACCTTACCCGTGGATGGTGGCTTGCATTGGCGGCTCGAGATTATGAACTCCCACTTACTTCCTCTTGTCCAAGTCCACCCCAACCCAAACCAGCAGCCCAAACCAACGAATCACAGGGTGAGTTCTGACACTATGTTTGACGCCCTTTCCCTTTTTGCATTTTTCAGGGCAAAGCTTGCAGATCTCCCGACTCCCCGAGCATCCCTCGCAAGCGACGAACCTTCTTTTCGCCTTTCCGAAGTCGCCCCAGGCGGTCCGCGCCAAGTTGGCCAGGCCAGGGTTGCGAAACAAGACCTCGCTTCGCACTGGCCGAACGCTTCGCGTGAAATCAGGTGGGGGCCTCTTGGACGCTTGATGAGCTGGGAGCTAGATTCGAAAGGCTGAAGAAATCGCTTGCCTCGGATGCACTGTTGGTTCACAGCAAATTGCCAAATAAATTGAGAACCATATCCCAATTGAAACAATTTTGAACTGAACCCCTGGGTCAGTGTGCTAAGCTCCGTAGGCCTTGTACGAACTGTTCTTCAGAATCACATTGTTGGGTTGCCCGAACCTGGTCTGCAAACGCATTGCGCCAAATGATCCCCATCTAATACATCTTGATGCCGCGATTCACGTCATCATGGGTTCAGGATTCATGCTTCTCAAGGCCAACGACAGTGGGCTCCGCATGCGGCAAGCAACGATTTCAAAGTTAGGGACAACAACTCTGGCCCACAGCGAATGACCATTGCGACCTGCGAAGCTTCTTGAACAATCATTCTTCCTCTGGATGCTTCTCTTGCACTGGGATTTATAGCCATCATTGCCTTCAAACCTCGGACAAAGTTCCTTCAAAAGCAAACAGTCGCAAGCATGAACACAAACCTTGTTCCAGTGGCGTCAAATAGTACCTGGCACCCGCGCAACTTTGCTTGGATTGAGGCTCCTTGAGGTGTCACACACACACATATGTGTATATATTATACAACTGCCAATATTCGCCATTGACACCCTTTCGGATGAGAACCCCCCTACTCCACCCTGTGTGGCCATGCAAAGAAGGCTCCCTGAAAAGAACGGGCAAGTGCGGCTGGTTGCATTTTATGCAGGTCCGACCGTCTCCGGGTGATCCGGGCGCAAAGATTCACGCTGTTCTTGAACTCGTAGAAGAACTGCACCTCAGTCGATGTCTAAAACGTGCTAAGCCCTTTGCCAGACCCCAAGGCAATGCCGCGAGGCGTGAATCCGGGCGTACACTTGGCCAACCTTTCACTTCACAGCACATGGCAAGACCATTTGGACCCCACTAGCCAACTCCAATGATCACTTTGCGACTCTCTCAACTAGAACTGACCCCTGGCATGGCCTTTTCTAGATGTAAGCTGAGCCAGATGCTATGACTGGATAGTTGCGCTCCCAGTTGGCGATGGAACGTTTCCGGTTAAAACCAGCATGCAAAAAACTGGGCTCCCTACTTCTGGATACACCAAGCTGATTGACTCACCTTCTGCTTGCTTCCAACTTTTCCATCCCTATTCTCAGGGTGCAAGATCAATTTTCTGGCAAGAACCAAGCCTCCAAGACAAAATCGTAATCCAGCAGGTACTTGTAAAGCGGGTGTTCCTCAAACATCCAAATCTTAACCCATGCATTGTCCGGTGTTGCTTAGAATAGGCTTAAACGGAGGCTTTACTTGGGGGTCTGATTGATACCCCAGGAGTTGCACTTAAAAAGGAACCCGCTGCTCGACTCTAAGTCGTTGGCGAAGGCGCCAGCAAGCTCCCGGTCTCCACGAACCTCCCGCTCCTGACTGGCAAACAAAGGGTCAGGTGTTCAGGTACGTTCCTGTTTTTAGTCGCTTTCTGGTTGGTTTTAAGGGGAAACCAAAGGGACCACCGTTTCGAAACGGGTGCACCAAATACGAACAACCCGCACTCAGTTGGTGGATTGGTTTGAGGACTTGAACTCCAGTTCCTTTTGAAAGCCAATGGGAAAGATACCTGACGCCCAAACCAAGTTGGGCTAGCTGAATGGGCCAAGGGGAAACAGCCAAGGCTCTCAAAAAGATTCTCAGAGCCTGCCAAGGGGTGCTTAAGGAGGGGCTGCACACCATTTGGGTGTGGCTCAAAAAATTGGCAAACCGGTAGTTTTGGTTGCTGGTTACATTTGAAAAGGCGCGAATTTGGTACATTTGTTTGAGCCACAGCCATTTCTGGAGGGTAGGGAAGCGTCCCCAATGTCCCTCGAGCATTGTCCTTTGCTTTGAGGGCCAACAAAATTCTGACGGGTCGGATGTAACCCAAGACACACTCTTCACCAACTATAATGTGTGCTTTCTTGGAAACTCCACAGTTAGTGTTTTCAAAGGAAAACACAAGACAAACCAGCCATGTTAGGGGTCCGATTCTGTTCTTTTTGAATACACACCCATGTATCGTGCAAGAGTCAGCCACGTTTTCCTGTCCGATCTGTTTCCCAAGAACAGCACACACACACACACACCGCCTAAATGCGATGAACAAAGGTTGCGCAAGTCAGGATAGTATCCGGCCGCATGGAAAAGGAACTTAGCATAGCTAGCATGACGAGTAAATCAACATGGGTTGTGTCTTCTTTTGAGGGCACCCACCTTGGCGATCACCTTATTTCAACAAACTCACATGTGTTGTATGATTATGATGTTGGAACACATAAGCTTCCATCACATAACTACCCCCATATTGCCCCATGCCTGTTCAAGTGCAAAGACTCGCTTTCCTGAGTGTTGTCCTAGGGGACGCTTTGGTGGACAGAAACAAGGTGGGGATTCACGTCCACCAACCACTTGTGACGTGTGTCCATCTCTTGAAATTCATACATGTATCTTACCTGTAGCGAGGTTGGACCATCACTTTCAGTTTTGGCAACGGACTTTTGATGATCAGTGAGAGCACAGGAGTAATGTAGTAATGAAGCCTTGCTTGATTGACCGCGGACAGTTCTACTTTCGCGGGAACCTTCATTCCTGGCAGAACAGCCTCTATTGATGCGCCAAGTTGATTTATCCGAAGCCAATATTAGTGAAACTGATATCTCGCTTGTACATGGCAAGTCTATGGAATTCTGACATGGTGGCCCCTAAGGCAGGAAGCGGAAATTCAACATACCATTGACTTGAATTACAACATATTCCACTTGCTTGAATCAACTGCGGATCCCAGTCTAGCCAACGATCTGTGAGGCAACTCATGAAGGGCAACCACCTGTTTTCGGCGTTCCATATCCTATGTGGAGACAACTCCTTCACACCAAGAAAGGACGCTGCAAGAATGCGACCCCTCAATTCCCTGTCCTTCTTCGCAGCTTTAGCCTTGTCGCTATCACCAGCCTTGGCCTCTGCGCGGGCCGACTTGCGCACGAACTGCAGCTCTCACTGACTTTGCTGCATGGCATCTGCAAAACTTTGAGTGACCCTTGGGTTCTAAGATGGGTTCTGGGCCACAGCTTGCAAGTACCCGGAGGAGGAAACACGGGCATCCCAGCCACAGCCTCACGTCCTTGAAATCGTGGCACCATGAAATCCGGGGCTTTGGGACCCGCGGTCCATACCCTTGTCGCAGGAGTTCACAGCTACTCTCTTAACTGCCATGACGTGTACATATATACATATATACGTATATACACATATGTACATATATGCACATATTTATACAAACACACAATACTTACACGGCACTGTATATATATATATATATTCATTATATGTATATATTAAGCCCGCCCGCCCCCCCCCCCCCCACCAAGGCCTACATTTTAGTAGTAATTTATATATATATATATATATATTTATGTATGCTCACTCCCCCCCCCGGGGCCTACCTTTTCACTTGTACAGTCTAGAAAAAATGATAATTTCAAGAGTAGGGGGTAAGCATATATATATAATATGTGCACATTTGTCGCTTTGATGTCATACACAGTTTCCTTTATATATTACTCTGCTGCTAGAAGCTCAAACAAAGTCATTCAAAGAATCTCTGTTTGTTGTAGCTATGACGTTAAGACCCCGGATGGCCACAAGATCCGCGTGAATTCGGGCACGCAAATCGTGGATCGGTTTTGGGGCTTTTTGCGCAAGCACTTGAAGATCGTCAACCGCACCCCCGGGAGCGCCGTACTGAGCCGGCGAATTCGATCGGCCCAATGGGCTTACTGGCACAAGAGTGTCAACCTGTGGGACGCCACAGGCAACATGCTGCAGACTTTGCAGCAGGCTCGAGACGCTCATAGAGACTTCTTGAAACATTTTTGCAGCACGATGCTTCTGTGAAAAAGCTCAGCAATCTGTCTTCCATTCTTCAGAATCAAGTAAAGGATTGTTTTTTTGCATTTTTTTGAGCCTGTGCAGGATTTTTAAGCACCCAAGGCTCCAAAACCTGCACAGGCTCAAAAATGGGCAAAACATCTAAACCCGAAAGCTCCAAAACCTGCACAGGCTTTTGGAAAAATGCAAAAAACAAAATGCAACAATCCAGACCAATCAAGCCCTGACCTCTGACATTGCATCTGGGTGTTGCATGTGTTGCATTTTTGAGCCTGTGCAGGTTTTGGAGCTTTCAGGTTTGGATGTTTTGCATTTTCTGAGCCTGTGCACGTGTTGAGGCTGAAGCCATTTAAAACAAAAAAACAAAAAACAAAAAAAACGTAAAAAAGGTGCTGTTGTTACAGTTTCCAAAAAACAAAACTAAAAAAACACTGCAAATAACAGTGTTTTTTAACACTGACAAAATTGCATCTGAAAACGCTTTCCGTTTTCGTGTTTATTGCTTTCTTGAGTCTTGTTTTGCATCAAGTACAGAAATAACATCTGGCACAATATCAAACATCGCACCAAAACACAGTAAAAAATACAGTGTTTTCTGCAAGGCATCTGCAAACCAAGTGGACGCTGAACATCTGCAAATACATCTCTTTCATGCAAACAGTAGAAAGGTAGGCCTGGGGAAAAGGGGTGACCATATATACATATATACATATACGTACACTATATGTAGATATATACACTTGTGTATACATACAGATATACATATATACATATATATATATATATATATGTATATATATATATATATATAACCATAGAGGTATATCAGCGTCTCCATTTTCTGAAAGGTTTCGGCCTGGAGGGCCCTCGGCTCCAGCTCATCCGGCTCCTCACCTGGGATGGCTGAACGGTTCTCGGGAACCGCCTGGTAGCTTCAGAGGGAGATCAATGACCTGGTGGTTGTGAAAAATAGGCTAACCTCAAAATGGAATCCTGGTAAGTGGACACATGGACCTCAAAACCCTGCAGTCTTTGTTGGTGTAATTTTGACCCATACCCAGCTGTTCTTGTGACGTGTTCTTCGCGCGGGGGGGTTTAAGGGACACCCAAGGAAAGCCACCCATTTGAGAGGGGCTATTTTGAGACAAGCCCGACGCGGTAAAGGCTAAAGGGAATTATTGCAGGGCAACTGACATGCAAACGAAAGCATTGCGGCTCCGGCTTGCCAATGCCAAGTGTGCTACTGAGAGTGACTGTGTTGCAAATCAACAGTTGTGTTGCAAATCAACACTTGTGAAGTTGCCAAAAAGCATTGCTTAGCCCCCACAAGAGGACATGCATCTTTAAGGCAACATGCTTGAAGGCGCAAGGATTCTCGGAGCTTCCTTAGGTCAGAAGCTCATCCACCTCTGAGCATCGAGTGTATTCCATCGCATGCCCATCACAATGGGCAAGCTTCTCGGTACCCCCTGAAAATCCATATGAATCATAGCTTTGAATGGGTTCCATGGCTTTGAAATGGATGCAGCACATTTTCCTGGCAGCGATTGGGGCCCGAAAGCAGCGATTGACGGTATTCTTTGGCTAGGCCAAAACATGTAAAATCCAATCCTAAAAACATGTAACCCAGCTGTTTCAAGGGACAAAACTCACAAGGTGTCTGTCCCCCCCACCCCTCCACCCCCAAAAAACAAACGAAAACAAGGACAACTCATCTAAGATTGGTCCTTTCCAACTTTATTTTAAGCAAATCACCTTGCCCCCAATTGCTGGTTTGGTGTGGTTTGGACGTTTGGGCGTACCCTTCACTCTTCAAAAGCAAATGGCTCAAACCCCTAAACCACCAATCCAAACTCAACAAAAACGGAGATTTCAAGACCTCCGCCCCAGGCCGGATCGCCGGGCCTTCCACGCCAAGGATGAGGCCGGCAGGCAGGTCGATATCCTCAGTGTGGTTGGATGGTCCCAGTGATGAGATCACGTCGTTGCAGGTGGAAGGTTTGAGTTGCCCAGTTTGGACCCAGAAATACAAGACGATCAGCTGTTGGGGCCAAAAAAAATGGACCAGGGAAATCAACAAGTCAAAAGGGGGATTCGCTTTGGGCAAGTGAGGCTACAAACATGGCCTTGTTTTGGGACTGTCTGGGTCCCAGAAAGGCCAATCACCAACAGCCACATGGCTGGCTCCCTCGAAGCAATCAGGGCCTGTCTTTTTTGGGGGACCCTCTGGTGTTTCCCTCTAAAACCACAACAAACCCTCAAAAAAAAGGACACCACCGCCGAAGGAATTTCTTGGGGTGAGCGTCTGGTGCGCGCTTCGTCTTGCAACAATACTACGAGTATGGTTGACAAGTGGTCCTCTCTGCCGTCCAACTCGGTGAAGGAAAGTGTCAACAGGCAAGCTTTTGTGCAAAAGTGCTATTAGTCATATTTGTAAGCCTATTATATCCTATTATCATTGTGTTTTCGTTTGCGTCCAGCAAGCGACGTTTCGTTCAGAGAGCGCAAAGAGTGCTGGCCGTGAGGTTTATTTCATCAGCACGGAAATGATTAATTGTGCTTCTTCTTCCTGTTGTTTGCGTTCCCTTTTTTTCTAAATAGTTTGAAAGAAAACAATGTGTGCATGTGTGCTTTGAACACCTGCAGCGCAGATGCATTTCTGTGACCCTCACCCATCGCTGTAGTAGCGCAACGCTTGGACCAGTCCAATAGCAATCTAACGAGGCGTCCAACAGGAACCACAGTGCGACGCATGCTGGTGTCTCAATTGTGCGGCACCTAGCTTCGTAAACCTGGACCCTCAAACTTCCTCAACAGCTACTTTTCACCCCAAACTTAAGGGGTGAATTCCGGGTCTAGGCAATCACAAGCGCCACGCGTTACCGGCCTTAAAACCGAAAACGACGCGTCGATCCGAGGTGCCACCTGCGGCAGACCCTTCTTCATCACGGTGAAGATTACATCCTGATCACCACCCGCCACTTTGATACCAGGCGACTTTTTTGTTGAGTTGGCACCCAAAAAACTTGAGGGTTCAAGAACAAAGAGGAAATCAAGTCGTCATAGGGGGTTTGACCTATACCCCCTCTAACCGTTTTCCTTTCTTTCTTTTTCTGAATGCACATTGGTTTTTGGTTGACCCGGCAAAGTTGAAACCCGTGAGGGCTTGGATTTTACATTCGTTTCCAGTGTACCCAAGGGAAACCAGGCCTGGAGAATCCTAGGGTTCTCATGTTGACCCCGTGAACTCACATAGCATCACCAAGGCCAAATCTTGCCGAACCCTGCAGGTGCTTCTCCCGCGAGGTAACTTTTGGTTAGCACAAACCTATTCAAATTACCTAGCCCTTACTCAGTTGCCCAAAGTACCTCCAAGTACAAGGTTGACCTTTTGGGCCATGAGTAAGAATGGACCAAAATGAAAAAAACAAAACTTCAAAGCTCGGCTTTGGACAAGTCGAGCTGAGTTTTTGTTGGGAATGCTGCCGTGTCAAAGGCCTTCGCCGGCGCCTATGTGCAAATACGCCGGACGGCCTACGTGAGGCCACGTGGTGTACATCAGCCTTAAGGTTTCAAGCGCAGCGAGGCAAGCGGTTGGAGTTTGCTCTCAAAATGCCTACACGGTGTTTCATGCCAAAACTCGTACACGCGCGCCTACGCGCAAACTGTCGCGGCGCCTACGCGAAAAGGTGCTCAGACGACTGTCACAGAGTGGCTTCGCGCGCCTGCGTGCGCCTACGAGTTTCCAGTAATATGCCTACGCGGGGCCTGTGCCGGCTGAGGCGACTGAGGCTGAATAATGAGCAGTTTTGTTTGTAGTTGGCCAAAAGGGAAAGGCCTCATGTCGATTTCTGTCAAAGTGGGCGGCCTTGAACACTGAACAACTTTAGAAACCTGACGGACCACGCACGAAATTCAACGCAAGGTCACCATGAAAACAATGTTCTGGGTTGCGGATTGGTTTCATCTCTCCTTTTGAAGTCAGCATATATCGTTTTGCATAACTCTACCCCCAAACGTAAAAAGGGTGCCTTCACAAACTCGGGCCCTGGGGCCGCTCTCTTTTGGAGGACGCTGTGAGCACCAATTCCTCAATCGAAGGCTCCAAAGCGACACGCGCCTGCAGGCGGTTGGAGAGAGCCGAAGCGTTCAGTGGCACATCCACCGGGTCTTTGGGCAAGAACTGGTCCTCAGCGCAGGTGCGCTGAGGACCAAACAACAACGAAACACGAGCTGAAGGCTTGAAGTGAATGTTCAACAGCTTGGGGTTTTATGAGATTTGATATTTATAAGGGTTGAAGTGATATCAACGGTGTGGGGTGTTATAAGAACATGATATTTATAAGAGTTGCTTTGTCAATGCCGTCAATTTTGGACGGGGAGAGAATTCGCTGAGTCCAGTGGGTTCACTACCTTCTTGTTCTTCCCACTACTTCTTCGCTTTGAGCGAAGAGAACCAAAACATAGGCTACTGGCAAGCGTCCCTTGTCATGGAGGGAGTTTCCTCTTTATGGAAGGGCGTCGTTTGAACAGCGGGGGGTGGAACCTGAAAAAGTTCTTTCCAGGGGCTTCAAATGCCTTTGCCAGGTGTGAAGCCAGTGCACGAAGCTCCTTATGAATTTTAGGGCCAACGGAGTCTCACTGGTGGAAATCTCCTCGCGTCTTAGCTCGGTTCGCCTGGTGTGGTGCATGTTTGGCCGAGAGAACCAAAAGGAACTGGCCCAAAGCGGGCCTCGGTCCTCGGGCCGGGGGGCGCCCCGTTGCGTTGTCCTTTCCTTTATCAGTGAGATGTATTGGTCAGCGTTTAGGTCTTGCCACACCAAACGATCTGAAGCTTGCGGAGGGAAAGCAACGAAAAGGCACGTGCTGTCGCGACGCTGTCCAAATTGCGAGCCTCGAGTCGGAGCGCCTCGCCTATCGTGGAATATATCCTTTAAGGTGAAATTTCACAAACATGATGGCTTGGCTCCAAGCCAATGGATGAAATAGGCAGATGTGCTAAATGGAAAATGTCCCAAAGGGTGAGGTTCGTGTTGGTTTCCCCTTCAGCTGAAAACCCTCAAATGCCTCCAAATATTCACCTCCCCCTCAAGGAAATTGCTTTTCAGGTATGGGTTTTGGAGCCATGATTATGCACCAATGTAAGCCGCTGAGGCAGTAATGTAATGTTAACCCCCTATTAATCACCCCCAGTTTATTAACAGGGGGGTGTTCCCTCCAAAAGTGATAATTCCCTACTTTAAAAATCTGGGCTTGATTAATGCGGGGTCAACATTATTCCGGTATTCTCCAAGAACTGCCCATCCCCCCGCTCGCACCCACCTAAGCCGCCGGCCCAAAGCGCCGCCGGCGCCACACTTCGCGAAGGAAGTCGACCCCACGAATCGGACTGGCGGAGCCGGGAGGTTAAGGGACCCTTATATTATATATATACACGTTATATGTATGCATATAAATAATATATATATATATAACCATTTAAACCAGGTTTTTTGGTGATGGAGTCCCCTTTACTTCCAACCAACTGAACATCTCGCCCCCGGGTTCTGGCCCGTGCTTCACCAGTTGACTTTGACTCATTGACCTCGTGGCGTACTTTGGAGGGCCGAAATCCATTGGAAACACTTTCAAACCATGGGAAACCTGCATGGTTTGTTGGCATTACAGGGCAATCGAATCACTTTAGAGTTCCTCAAATGGTGGATTTCGTTTGAAACATGGAAGTGCCATTGGCGGTGTAGACAGCCTTTCCCAAGTTTTGCTCAAACGGCCAGCCAAGCAAGGCATAAATGCACAGGTGGCTTCACAGACCTACCGAACTGACCCGTGGACACCCATGCGCCCCCCCCCCCCGGTTTGGGGCACGTGTCACCATGTATTTCAACACCACCTGGGCGCGTGAACAGATCGCCTGCCCGACAAAAGCCTTGGCCAGCAGGCCACAAATGCCTCGGGCCGCCGAGCGAGCCGTGGGATATGTCATGAGGCATCCCCGACGGCGGGATCCCAAAATTCAATTTCAGCCGTCAAAGGCTGGCCTAACTCTCGTCGGGGTAAAGCATGTAGATAGACATAGATTCAAACATGATGCAGCGAGTCTCCAAATCCAGGGAAGACCATCATGTTCCCAGCACCACCACCCTTGGGTGAAAAAAATGCAAAAATCGAAGCAGTACAGGTGATGGCTTAAACAACAAGATCATTTGCTTTGGTATTCCGCTTCAAAGGCCAAGAAAAGGGAGTCGGCAATTTCCCATACTTGCATGAGCTCACATCTTCCATATCGTAATATTGATACATCGCCGTGCGGAGAGGAAAGTGTCAAGCAACCACAATGACAGATTATCGCAACAAACGTCCAGTATTGGAAGGTTTGGGACCCGGAAAAGAACATATGCCATTTGGAGCATTTGATCATGGAAGCCTGGATGTAGAAGAGTGGCAAAGAATGCAACGATAATGGTTGGAACAAGGTGGTTGGTAACAACAATACAATCATAACAATCTACCTCGCTAGTGCTTGGATACCTCCACGCTTCCCTTGCTCGTCCGGTGGCAAAATTGCAGTGATTGCTCATCCCTGAAAGCCAGTCAGCTATGCAACATTTAGTGCTCCTGTCACTTTCAATAAACAAAAAACGCCAGATACTCACGCACACAAGCAAGTTTTGTTCGTGCTTCTGGGCAGTCATGTAAGCTGCACTGACCAACACGGTAAAAAAGCTTGTTCCTTGGCTTCCCACCTATGAGGAGCACCGCGGTCGTTCGCATGGGAATTATCCCGTAAGCTCAAGGATATGTTGGCCTCCCTGCAATCACTGGCTTTGGCTGTCAGTGCGAGACACTTTGTGTGTGTGTGTGTGGGTTCATGTGTGTGTGTGTGCAGGTATGTTTGGTGAGAAATCTCTTTGTGTTTGTGTTGGATTTGTGCCAATGTAAACGCTTTTCCTACGGTTAGCTGGAATGCGATGAAACCTTGTGGGAGATTCAGTTTGCTCACATTGACGGAAGCAAGTCAACCATCCCTTGAATTCTAATCGTTTTTGCATTACCCACTCTTCTGGCTGGTACATAGGTTGGACAAATCAGATCATTGCCCATCTTCTTGTGGTTTCCTTTTGCAGCACTCACACTTTGTGACATACACGTTTCTCCGCTTTCCCAAACATTTTCAGCCCCAGCACATGTCCCATGTGGATTGCTGCGCTATGCGCTTTTGCTCTGCCCGGCTCTGCCGTCTTGGCCAAACGGCTGCGCTGGCTCGCATGACCCAGACTGACTCTGGTGGCTTGGCAAACCTCTTCACCTGGCAATGTAACAAAAAGACTCTGCATGGAGTGGCTTGTCAAATAGTACGAACTCGAAAATGAGGCTTACTACATCCGATGAAAGCACTTCTGCTGCCGAAAATAATTCCGCGGAACTCGTCGCTAGGTGAGCACCGTCAGGGAAGTTTGCCTATAATCTACATGGTGTCTTGTCAGTCGATCTGCAGCCGACCCCAGTTCAATAACGTGACATACCACGTGCCATCTTGCGCCCTCAAAGAAACAAGTTGTCCTCGTCACGGTTGGCAGTTGGCAGGAGTCGTTAAGCGCGATGTTTGGATCAAACTGGGCACACGCAAGGCCAATCCATGCCTTCGATCAACATATTCCAGAATGCGATCCCGAACTGTTAGCACCACTTCTTGCCACCCATTGGGCAAAGCGTGCAGCCGTATGCAGGGATGGACTGGGCACGCCAAAAACAGCTTTTCAAATACATGTCGGGGAAGAATACACTTTTTTAGCACACGAGCAGTTCCACCGCTCCTTGTCACACCCTGTTTGCTCCATGACACCGAAATAGTATGGCAGGAGTTCATGCCGGAGCAGAGCTGACTGTGGCTCTGCGTTTCAAAACACTTGCAACAGTGGGTGTCGGCCTAAGCGCACCTAGTTTAATGATCCTCTACCAAGCCTGTATCAAGGAGCTATGTCTCGAAGCTGGAATGTTTCTATGTTTGAAGCTTGCCGACATCCAACAAGACCAAGTAAGGATACTGATGATCAGAATATGGCCGTTGCCACTTGCCTGCGGCCATATATGCAACGCACATGGTTCGTAAATAATATCCGAGTTTGCTGCAACATGTATCATATCATATCATAGCTGTGGATGGAGATCCAGTGGCCCGTTCCAAACATCAAACGCAAAGAACATCAATCACAGGCCCCAACGCTCACACATTGGACTGAAATATCTCCAAGGACTCCCAAATCCCCGAAACTCCCCAAGATCTCCCCAAAACTTCCCACAACTCCAATTTTGGATGAAATCCCCGAAACTCCCCAAAAAACCTCCAAAGACGTTGCGAGGAAGTCACATACACAGCGCGTCTGGGCCCGGGCGGGAGCCACAGCTTCTGCAGCGGGGTCAAGGTCAAGGCCCTGGAGCGAGGCGCGGAGTCCCGCCTCTGGGCCAAGTTGTCCCAGCTGAAGTTTTTAGGCTAGCACTGGAAGTAGTTGATGCTCTGTGAGATTCATCTCCAACAGCACACCTGGAACAAACGCCCACCATGGATATATAGTGCGCATGGAATAGCATTTGTGCGAAACAAATACCATACAAATTGAGAGTGACACAGTGCCCAACCTAAGTGGCTTGATGTGAACTACAAGCAAGTGTCTATGCAACTGCTTGTTGTTCTAAGCAGCAGCTTGTTTCTTGCAAGCATGCTTTTGAAGATGAATCTCGTAGAGCATCAGCAACTACTTCCATGCTAGCTTAAGAACGTCGGCGCCAGGGGAATGTGGAGTCAGAACGCGGCATCAGCCGGGAATGCGGAGAAGCATCACTTTTGGGGGAACACCACCACATTTATCGGACGTGTTTAATTTACTGGGTCAGCTATCAAAGGCCGCAAAAGGGCCAGTACATTTTGCCACCGACGCATGCCCAATTCACATCCTGACGCCGCACTCTAATCCCATAAACAACCCCCCAAACTAAAACGGGGCTGAACAAAAATCCGACCCAAACATCTTACCCCCCAACATGGTTGTTGTTGGGAAACATTTTTCATTTTTGCTTATTGTGGTTTAGTGGTTGAAATCCCCACTCTGCAGAAATGTGTGTTTTTGCTCCCCTTCCGACTTCAACCAAGCCAAATGGGTATGGCCCAAGAAACCGGTACCAAAATGGGCTGCTCTGGCAAGTGGAAACATGGACCAAAACTTGCGTAACCCTAGCTCTTTAATTTTGAGCCACTGCCGAATTCAACGGGGTTGAAACCAAACTCCTTGCAACTCATATATATATATATATACTGCGTGCTCTTCTGGGTCCTCCGGTAGAGGGCTTAGAATAAGGGTACCCTTTTTCATGTAGTCTAATTTAGTAGGGGACCCGTCCCCAAAAAAGAAACTGTAAAAGGGCACTGCTGGGCGACCTAGTCTTCATCTAGCATCACTCGCAGAAAATGCGTGCCACCACGGAGCGGCTCATGCAAAGACCTAAGCAAGCCCGATCTATCTTGCGAGCTACGATTAAACGAGCGCAGTGAATCGTTCACTTAACATGGCTTCAACTGCCGCAATGAAAGAGGAGCCATCGAATCACATGGATTTAAGCTGCCAAGTGCTATGGAGCTACTTTGCAACTCAGCGATGAAGGGCTAACGCGTCAAGCGCAACCAATAAACTGCTACGCAACTTATGTAGCGAATCTTCAAGTTCAAGTGGCCTTGACTGCCTTAAACAAGCTGGGCTACAGAATCATGTAAGGAATTCCTTCTGAGCAAAGGAGGTATCCATTTCTGGTGCTAGCCAAAGGAAGCTTTGCTTTTCATTAGTCCTAGCCAATGCCTGAACAAATTCCAGATCCCAGGATCCTGTTGAGCACAGCGTAGATCTGACATATGCCGGTAACTTAAATTAAACCATCCACGCAAAAGGAAACAACATAATTCGGAACATGGAATTTCACACAAAGGACAATGTAATGGACACTTTTGTGGAGTATATGTATATACCCTTTTTGGTATCATTCTACAACGGAACCAAGGGACACCCAGCCATTTGCGCGTCTTTGATTTACCTCGTACCAGCTTCAGCTTGGCGGGCTGTCTGATTCCGCCGCTCTGGCTGGGCTGGTGGGCTCATTCCGCCGCGATGATCTTGTCTCCCCGAGGGAAACACACAAATTGTGAAAGGAAACCAGGAGCAAAACCTTAAGCATCTTGGACTCTCGTAAAGTCTCTGCTCTCTCCTCACCGGCCTGAAGTCCCGCTTTGCCGAGCACATGGTCACACTCCGCCCGCCTGAACAAGCAGAAAAGGACCCTGGAACTAGCGAGCCACCTGGCACCTGGACTCATGGGATACATGGAAACCGGGAAGTTCGGATCTCCAAAATTGTGGTATGTCCTTTTGAGCTCCCTTTAAGCTTAAGGGCACCAACCCAGCAACACCCATGCAAAAACCTGGCCAAAACCTCGCCTCACTGGTGAGGTTCTCCGGTTCGGCCCGCTAAATGCGTTCGTGTTATTTTTGTCAAGGGGTTTGAATTCGTGAGGTTTGTGTGACACACCATTTGCCCACAAGAACAAACCAGTGAAGGGTGACCACTTGAACAAAATCCAGACAGCAACTATAAACTTTACGAGATGGAAGTTGGAACCACCCCAAACGGCTAGTGGACATGAATCCGTAGATGATGTCCTCCAAAGGGTCCCCCATTTAAAAAGTCCCATTCACCAGCTCAAGGTATGCACTTTCTTTTCCCACACCAAGGGCCACGTGCGCTGAGGCAAGGCGAGCTGAGCCCGACATTCTGAAGACTAACACAGCCTTTTGGAAGGACACGATCCAGCAAATTGAAGTGATAATCTAAATGTGCCATGAAATGATATCGCATCTAACAACATGTGCATTTTGTGTCCTACAAGTTTCCTGGTCCTAATCTTCCATGATTGGGGGAATCGCTGAGACTCAGCTATGTTCAGACTGCCACATCTTCCTTGGGAAAGGGAAGTGGCGACAATGAATCAATGTCGCCATGTTCCACATGACTAAAACATAATAATATGCATATATGTATGAAGGTAGGTGGGTAGGTAGGGAGTTAGGTATGTATGTAACATGTATATATGTAACATGTATGCATGTATGTATGCATGCATGCATGCATGCATGTATGTGTGTGTATGTATGTATGTATGTATGTATGTATGTATGTATGTATGTATGTATGTATGTATGTATGTATGTATGTATGTATGTATGTATGTAGATATGTAGATATGTATGTATGGATATGTGTACATATGTATATATGCACGTATGTCCGTATGTGCATGCGTAAGTACACATGTATGTATGTGCATATGAATGTATGTTTATATGCATGTATGTACGTACGTATGTATGTACGTATGTATGTATGTATGTATGTATGTATGTATGTGCGTACGTATGTATGTATGCATGCACGGATGCACATATGTGTGTATGTATGTATGCATGCATGTATGTTCGTATGCATGCATGCATGCATGCATGCATGCATGCATGCATACATACATACACACGTACACACATACATACATATACATACATATACATACATATACATATACATATACATATACATATACATATACATATACATATACATATACATATACATATACATATACATATACATACATACATACATACATACATACATACATACATACATACATACATACATACATACATACATACATACATACATACATACATACATACATACATACATACATACATACATACATACATA